TATGGTTGTGATAAAGAGCCTTCAGGAAGAATATGTCCAGTATTATTCCTCAGTGCTTGTTGTCATAGCTAAACTGTAGTACTTCCAGTCATTAAAGACCACTAATAAGCACAGCTCTGAAATCCGAAACTCTAAACAATGACGGCTAAACGGTGTGCTTTTCTTTGTTGATGTCGTAGGTCCTAGCTTGCAGACTACGTTCTGCGAGGAGAATCTGATCACCCTCAGTTGAGTACTTCAACGGGAGGTTGAGGGTGTAGAACTTATATAACTTTGTCTTTCGCATGCACAGGTTTTTGAGTTGTGCTAAGTTTAAGTGGAGTTTCAGCATGGTGTAGGTGTCGTGAGAGGGAGGTTTTGGGCAAGGCGAGTATAGTCAACATAACAGTACTTAAAGGATCATAGGACTTAGTAAGTAGGGTTACATCTAAGCAAACTATACTTATAACCCCAATTGGGGGACTTATAACCCTACTTACTACGTCCCATGATCCTCCAAGTATTGAAACCGAGTCAAGTCTTGGTTCCGAAGGAGTGGTCCCTTGCTGCACTTCATGCAACGTCTTGGAGGATGTAGGACCGCGGAGTCTACCCAAACCCGAATCTCTGGACCCAACCCACAAACACGAGTCCTCGAAATGCACAAAGCCCAAACCCGAATCCCCAAAACGCGGACTCCGAAATCCAAGCCCTTTAAACCCCAAACCCTGGATACTCACTGAGCTTACTAACTTTAGAACGCTTATAGAAAGCGTATGGAAGCCGCTGTAGCCCTAAACCCTAAACCCTAAACCCTAAACCGACACCTGCGCAGGTAGACTGGGCTTGTGCCCAGGATTTCGGGGGAGGGTCCCGCTCGTCGTTGCCAGGCGTGGGCAGACAGAGTTGTCCAGACGTTGGGGTTCAGAGTTTTGGGGGTCCCTTAAGGTTTGGGGTTTAGGGTTTAGGGTTTAGGGTTTAGGGTTTAAAAGGTTATGGAAAAGGTTCTAGAACCCTAAGGATCCATGTACTCATATAGTATATACATTGGCCTTAATGGAGTCCCTATAGAGGTACTTCAAGGCCCATGTATGTGCTATATGAGTACATGGACCCTTAGGGGAAGGGTTGTTTTACTGGTTCTTCAAGAGAGGTCTTTGGATTTCTGTTGTCAGGCTTTGGGCTTCAGACGTTTGGGCTGGGGGACTTCAGGGTTCTGTTTCTTGCTTCCGTACCTATTCCCTCCAGCGTAGTTCCTTTTCACGGTTTAGGGTTTAGGGTTACTTGGTTTAGGGTTTAGGGTTTAGGAGTTTAGGGTTTAGGGTTTAGGGTTTAGGGTTTAGGGTTACTTGGCTTCGTCTTTATGCAAGGATCCTAACCGTAGAATTGCTGACAGAGAGAAGGCCCAGAAGCTAAGGTAGCATGAGGGAGACCCCTTTTTGGGCACCCTTCTTAGCCCTACCGCTGGCTCTCTTTAAAGCGGACCTTATTGAGAGGGTCTATATCCCCAAGGGTTCCCCTAATCCTACCTCCTACCATCAGACAGCAGTGTTCGCAGGTTCGGAGTTCATGGTTTCAGGTTCTGCTGGATCTAAGCTGCAGACTGAGGGTGCAGGACTTATGCTTAGGTTCCCTAAACCCAAAACCCCTAATTCCTAAACCGTTTATGTTTAGATTCAGGGTGTTGTGTCGCTTTGGAGTTTGGGTCTGCGGAGGGCAGAGGTGGTAGGGCTAGGGGATTGTAGCACCCAAGGATACCTGAGGGTTTAGGGTTTAGGAAGCCCAAAGCCCAGAACTGAGGGTTAGGATTAAAGTACGTCATATGTCCCCTCAACCCTCCATGTGTTCATAGACGGTTTGCAGCCCAAAAGACTTTAACATGTACAGAGCTCCAAAGTCAGGGTGAGCGTTTAGACCCAATCCTCCTCAGCTCTTGGGGATACTTCTTTCCTTTGCAGAGTTTCCGGGGAGCCTTGTATGATTATGGAAAGATTCCTTCATCAAGCAACCTCAACCCTAAACCCTAAACCCTCAACCCTAAACCCTGAAACCTAAACCCCAAAGCAGCCTAAGCCCTAAACCCTAAACCCTCAACCCTAAACCCTCAACCCTGAACCCTAAACCCCAAAGCCTCAAGCGATTTTGGAGTCCCTGGCAAGGCCACTATTCAGGATTGGGCCGCTGCAGCCACATGGCTTGGGCTTAGTAGAGCCTTTTTTTTCCAGGACTCTTTAGGGTTTGAGGGTTTGGAGGTTTAGGAATTAGGGGTTTAGGGGTTTAAGGCTTTGGGATTAGTCTTTTGCTTGTGTTGCTGGCGGCGGGGTACGTAACAATTGATTCCTTGTTTAGTGCCTTTCTTTCGGTGGTTTGCCGTGGCGGCGTTTGTAGGGGCTTTGTGGCTTGGTGGGTTCCTGCCAGCATTTCGACGCTTGGGACGTAGGACTTCGAGAATGTCGAGGTCTGACTCATTAGGAATACCATCACAAATAATCTCTCTCTCTCTCTCTTTCTCTCTCTCTCTCTTTCTCTCTCTCTCTCTATATATATATATATACACACATGCCTATAGATAGACATAGACGCATACGCTCGCACCGGCAAGCTCCACCCTGTTTATCAAGCCCTGCTATGAGGATTTAAATCTTTTTTTGGCATGGTGGCTTCTCCAAAATTTGGAAGTGTCTTGATCTAGGATCTAGGATTTGGGGTGTGTTGGGGAAAGGGGTTTAGGATTCGAGATCATTTTTGCGGTGGGGCTTCACACGCCTTTGAAGGTTTGAAGAGTATGCGCAGGTTTTAGGGCTGTTGAATTCCGAGGGCGAAAGGCTGAGCAGAGGAAGTGGTGACCCTAGGTAAGGTCGCTGAAACCCGAAGACCTAAACCCTGAATGACTGTGCTTCCGCGGCAGACTCGCAATATGAAGATGTTGAGCTTCTGATGCCCCTTGCAAAGGCCCCCACAGCGTATTCTGAGAGCCTACCCTAAACCCTAAACCCTACTTGCTAGTCGCTGATCTTCCAAGCAAGACCTGCAGACCCGAATCTTTCCCAACTCGTGCAAGGTGTCTCGCAGAAGGCCTTTCCCCTGCCAGGCCCAGTGATTTTTAGTGCTTTCACTCAGTGGCTGAGTAGGTAACCTTTAACCTTTTGGGGCTCTTATAATCCTACTCTAATTCAAAAGGTTAACCTTTTTTGGGCTAGGGTACCCAGCCCCTAAGTTCAGGGTTTACAGTGTGCGCATCGTTGTCAGGAAGGACTTCGGTTCGCATTTGGATTGGATCCCATGCGGAAGATCAGGTACATATGCATTCAAGCATTCGGACATTGTTGCTTAAAGCTTATCGCAAGCATCGTTCCTCTTGTCTCGCTAGCCTCAGCCTAACCCAAAAAATCCTACATCCACTACTCCCTTTGAATTTGGTGCTTTGAGGCCTGTAACCTGCTGCCTGGTCCTCGGCGCGAATAATGAACCCGAGCCCGAAACCCCGATCATTTAATGCTTACATATGGTCCTTGAGTTGAGTTTTCGCTACAGCCAAACTTTTGGAAGCAAGCGCAACGCTAAAGGGAGTATTGACACCGTTTTATTCGGGGTCTAAGGTAGACTGGCGGAGGCCTTACATCCGCCAACATGGACCCGGCAACATACGCCTGAATCCCAAGTCCCAAAGCCTACTGTAGGAACCTGATTAAGAAACCCTGGCCCCATAACCCAAATATTCTAATTATAAGGGTTCATATTAAGAACCCTGATAAAGGCCCAGGGTTTCTTAATCANNCCCCCCCCCCCCCCCCACAATCCCAAGTCCTCAACCCGAAATCAGAATCAGACAGATACGAAGCCATACTAATCGAGGCTTGCTGCCGGCCTACGGGAAGGCAGCGGGTGGGAATGCTTCAGGGAAGCATCGGGGAGCATGGGGGATGAGAGGCTCCAGGCTTTAGGCATTTTTAGGGCTTTTAGTACTTTGGGATTAATGTATAAGCCTAGATAGTTGGGCTTTTAGTACTTTGGGATTAAAATATACGCCTAAATAACTACCAAAAAAACCTTATTCTAAGTGTGAAGGCCCCTACAATTATGTTTGGGATATAGCCAATGCCAGCGGTCCCTTCATTTCGGAGTTGGGATTTCTTGGCGTCAAAAGCTTGAGAAGGGTGTGCCCTCAGGTCGGAAGAATAATGCAATATATTATAGGAACCTGATCAGAGACTTTGATCCTATACTTCAGAAGTGAATATTTGGATCCGTATCAATTTAGGGGCTGAGTAGGTAACCTTTNNTTTTTGGGCTTATATAATCCTACTATAATTCAAAAGTTTAACTTTTTTTTGTCAGCCAGGGTACTCAGCCCCTGAGTATAGCCCAGAGACTCCAAAACCCCTTAATTCAGGACCATACCTTAAATCATATCAAGGTTCCTTCTGTAATTTAAGGGGTTTTGGAGTCTCTGGGAGCATCCCTAAACCCTAAACCCTAAACCCGTTTTGGAGTCTCTGGGAGCATCCCCTTAGAGTCAGAGTCCCTGTTTAATTGCAGCGCACCCTGCACGAAAGACCCGATCCTACTCGTCGGCTGCAGGATTCGGTGCCCAGGCTTTGTTTGGGGTTTAGGGTTTAGGGTTTTAGGGTTTAGGGTTTAGGGTTTGTTTGGGGTTTAGGGTTTAGGGCCAACTGGGGGTTACGATTTGAGATGGGCCCTGTCTTTTCTCCCCAGTGATGCTGAGGCTCTGTTTTTCCGTATGGCAAGGCCCTGCAGAAATCCGGGACAGAACCCTTGAGGCATCTTAAAGCCCTGAATCCCCCAAAACCCTTTACCCCCAAACCCCAAAAACACTAACTGGTAAGCCGTAGACCGTAAACCCCGAACCAACAACCCAAAAGCCTATCCTCGAACCCTTAGAGTAGCCCTTGTATACACCGTAACACGAACCCAAAACCTCCAAAACCCCGAACCTGACACCCTAAATCCTAAACCCTAAACTATGCCTGACACCCTAAATCCCAAAGGGAAAACCACAGGCCGACCTCGTCATCGAGTCTTTGGAGCTCCAAATGCGCACAGACCCAGCGCCCCGCCGACGTTTTGTTTGTTGTTGCTGTCTGTTTTTGTGATGTTTAAGCAGGTGTCTGTTTGGCTTGAAGGTTTAGGTAACTCTTGCTGGTTATCTGTTGACCTGTTTGCTTTTGCAAAGAGCTTCTTGGAGTTTCCTGATGGTTCATTGGATGTTTTGGAAAGTTTTGGAAAGTGTTTGGGTTCAGAGGCTTCCCTAAACCCTAAGATATAAGTGCTCAAACACCTCAACCCCAAAATCCTGAAACCCTGTAATCCTTAACCCCAAAATCCTGAAAACCCTAAACCCTAAACCCTAAACCTTAACCGAGCGGCTGATAGATGTGTCCAAAGTCACCAAAGGCTTCCTGCAGACCTGGCTCGGGCTTTCAAAGGATCCCCCGGAAATTATCCCAAGAGGGAAAGGGTTGAGGGTTTAGGGTTTAGGGTTTAGGGTTTAGGGTTTAGGGTTTAGGTTCAAACTGAGAGGCCCAGAATTCTCTGCATGTTAGGGCTTTTTAGGGCTCAGGGTTTTGGGCTCAAGCTTTATGCCGGACGGTTCGGGGTGGCAGGTTTTCGGGGTCATGCTTGCTGGCTCCAGGCTTCAGGGTTCACGATTTTACGGCGCAGGTCTTGCCTGGAAAACCTTGAGATTGCTGGCTGTCCGGGGAGACTTCAGTACCCAAAGGGTCTAAGTACTTATATGGTAGATACTCTGGGGCCCAAAAGATCAACTGGGGCTGGGCTGGGCTGGGCTGGGCTGGGCTGGGCTGGGCTGGGCTGGGCTGGGCTGGGCTGGGCTGGGCTGGGCTGCTGGGGCTGGGTTGGGGGGGCTGGGGGCTGTGGGCTGGGCTGGGCTGGGGGGGCGGGCTGGGCTGGGGCGGGGGCTGGGCTGTGGCTGGGCTGGGCGGGGCCGGGCTGCGAGGTACCCCGATTGGTGGCGCATCGA